ACGAATGCGCTAAGTGGCGTTCTCGAGATCAGACGAGGTTCATCTGTCATACGAGGTTCGCCTGTTTGAAGATGTTCGCTCGTTCAACGAGGTTCGTCTGTCATACGAGGTTCACCTGTTTGACGATGTTCGACGAGGTTCGCTCGTTCGACGAGGTTCGTCCTACAGACGATGTTCTTCTGATTTGCTGAGATGTGACCCTCGCGTTTCATAGTTAGTCGTCCATTGATTGCCTCGTATTCAGGAGTCACTGAATGCAGTAATTACAACAGAATTTAGAGCAATTTAATGCATTACTGTTATAATCTTAATTGTCATTGAGAATTATAACAGTCACATTAATTGCAAGTGACTCTTGAGCTAGCCTTATAGGCCTATAAATAGCGCACTTGGGCAGCTCATAAAAAAACACACGCGAGCTTGGAAAACGAACGTCGGATCGACGTTATTGCTGCTGTTGTGTTGCTCCTGTAGAAACTGTGCCCGCAGGAACTTGCCCTGAAACCGAAAGGCTTTGAACCGAAAGATTCTGAGATCAAGTAGATCTTTGTCTTGACCGAAAGGTCTTATAGATCGAGGAGATTTTGACAGTACTAGGTTGGTGCACACCAGAGTACTATACTACTGTTCCTGAAAGAAGTTTGGCCTTGGGATCCTTGCACAGGAGTAGGCCAAATATTGCTTTAAGCACAGCGTTTCACAAACGCATAGCAGTTAACTTAAAAAAGTTTAAAATTACAGTACATCTGTTTTCTCAGTTCTATTACAGATTTAACCACAATTTCCAACAACATTATATTATTTTGCTCGATAGTAAGGTGAAAAAATTTGAGTTAAAAGGGGATGGCCTGATGCAGAAATCCAACCATAATCCAAGTATTCTTTAAGGTCCCGTTTGGCAAAGGGTTAAGGAGGAGGGATTAAAGAGAAGAGTTAACTTAGTTAATCCATCATGTAGGGTTAAAAAAATTCTAAACCTGTTTGGATACGATAGTTAAGACAATGGGTTAAGCCTTTTGTGTTTGGCAAATGAAGAGGGGTTAATGAGATTAATCTCATGATTTTTAAAAAAATACCATTTTCGCCCTTATTGAAGATTTATAAATTTCCACCAAACACATCAAGCGCCATGCCCTTATTGAAGATTAATCTCATGAAATATGCCTCACCCGCTGCTTTAGTTTTTCATCATGTATCATATTTGCCTTGTCCTCACCAAAGATCGGGATGATAATCTTTAGGGCTTGTTTGGATTGAGGGGAATGAGGGTGAAGGGAAGTTAGGGGAACCATTCACCTCCATTCATCTTGTTTGGGAACACTTAGGAGGTGAAGTTAATTCACCCTAGTTCCCCTTGGTTCACCCCCTAATAGTATAAAATTTGTTACCCCCCAAATTGAGGTGTAACCAAGGGGAAGGGAACTCTCTTCCCTTCCCTTCCCTTCCCTTCTCTCAGTTTCCCTTAACTTCCCTTCACCCCCTACAAATCCAAACAGGCCCTTAGAGTATAAAATTATAACCATCAATCCTCACCACGACTTTGGAGCTTTTGTGCAATAGCAGGGTCCTCTAACATGATACTAGAGCAACCCAAGTTCGTGTCTTACTAGTCATGAAATTCTAAAGCGGATTAAAAAAAAGATACTACTCCATGAGCTCAGGTTTCGACCCTTAAAAGGGCCCTCAATCTGCATGAACATTTTACAGTATAAAATTATAATTCTCACCATAACTTTAGAGTTTTTGCGGTGACAGGGTCCTTTGACAGTGATATTCCCTTATTAGTTTGGATGCACTTGCGATTTCAATCTTCAAGGCCTCAAAATAAAGGCCTAACCGAGTCTAATTGAGTTAAGGGCCTAATTGGTATCACGAAAGAATGGAAGCTTCAGGCTACAGTCTTTCCTTAAGATAATTGTCACGCAAAAATATCCTTCTTATCTCTTCCCTTGAGAAAAAAAGATAGGAACATTTTTGTCATGAAGGCAGCAACTCTTTCTCAAGGATTAATTATGAACTTGATATGTTTAATGGTGCAAGAAATAGTTTATGTTAGAAGAGGTCCATTATCCATGGAGAAATCCAAAGCGCAGAAGGAATTATGGGAACCATGACTATGTGCAGTTTTATCACCCAATTCAGTCACAAATTGAATCAGATTTTCACAAACTTTTAGTATCACAGCTGCGCAAGTTAATGAATAGATATACAGGCAAAACCCCATCATTAGAAAAACCGCATACAAGGTTATGTCTATGCTGTTGGTGATGTAGAAAAGCCGCATGCATGGCTATCATGGTTAAAACCCACATTTGCTAAATCCTCGCATGCGCCATCTCTGGCATAATCCAGCTGCTAAATCAAAGCTACCGCTTTGGTTGCGACATGGTCTCATCATCGATCCTTTTTCTGGTACCATGGAGGCAAGCCCACCCATCTATTTCAGATATCGATATGTTATCCAAGTACATTGAATATAGTTCTTTAATCTGCTTTACCTGCACAAGAAATAAAATTGATTGATGAAAGGGTGTCAGTTTCAGCTTTCATAATAATAATGGTCGTTTTCCTCGAAACTATCTTAAAAGTAGAGTAATTATATGGAAATCACCTTCTGATTTTAACTTATACATAAACCAGCTTAAAAGTGGTTTTTGTTGCAATCAACCACCCCCGTCAAAACTTTCGCTAGAAATCCAAAATTACCCTTAAAAAAACTCACATGCAAGGCGTGTGACTCATTTTTTAGTGTTCAGATCTTGTTGGATACAACTCACCTACCTTAAACTTGAAGTTTTTTAAAGTTTATTTATTATTTATTAGTGAAAATTTGAATGGGAAGTGGTTGATTACAACAAAAGCCTACTTTAAAGATGTTTTATGTATAAATTGAAATTAAAAGGTGTTTTCCATATATAATCACCAAAATTTTAAGGTGATTTCTAGGGGGGGAAACCCTAATGATGATGGGTCAGAGAGATTTTGCTTCTGGTCTTTTTTTTTCGTTACATAATTTTAGGGTACGCAAAGTAATTTATTTAAGCAAGAAATAGGATATCAATAGTGCAGTTGGATTCAGATGAATTTCTGAGTACTATCGAGATCTAATGCAGTCCTCTGACGTAATAAGGATGAAAGAGGAGGAATAGTAGTAACACGTGGTTACTGTGTCAATTAAAGTCTTAAGCAGGAGAAGTAGCGGCTAGGGTGTTATTTCAATTTAGGTTAGGAATTGAGGAAGAGAAGGAAAATGGTAACATCAAAGTTCAAGGTCAAGCCCAAATGACATACCATTGTCAAAAATATGATGACAGAAGCATCTTACTTGAAGCGCATGATTAGCAAATATACATCATCACCAAGAGGGCATGATGCCCCTTATATAAGAAAAGCAACTTATTTCCAAAGAAAGTTAACTCTATACTAAATTACTAATCACAACCCTAAGTTACTTGCACGTTCTAGCAAAATTTACAAAAAGAATTTTCTTGTAAAGTAAAATTCCATAACTAACTCAGGAAAGATATTTACCCTTTAAGGCTACAAAGAAGAAATTTCAAGAATAAAATTCAAAATGAATGCTAGTGCAACAATAATTCTAGAAAGTAAATAATTTTAAGGTCATATTTCAATCTTGAATTCAAAACAACACATGAGATAATTAACGGGTCGTTTTCCATCAAATAGCTATTATTTAGTTTATAGATTGAAAGTCGTGTGTGGCATGCAAGTAATTAGACATCAGCAACTTACTTGAGCTACAGTCTTGTTTTATTTTTGCCGAATGGAGAGCAAATGACTTTAATTATTTCCAAAAGAAAAAAGAAATATCATTATTGGTCGATCTCATGAAAAGGATGTGAGACTAAGGAACTTCAAAGAAAATAAAAGGCAAATATGTTGCCATATAGCATTGTGAAATACCTGTTCAGACAAAATTCCCGAGAGGCCAATTACAGCACCAGGCCTTGCAAAGGAAACTATTTCTTCTGCCAGGTCTAACAAAGGATTGAGAAGAATATTTGCTATAACAATATCGAAACTTTGTTTCGCATCAATCAGTTCCAAGTTAGCCGAGGTTCTCTCTTCTGGGTTCTTGCTGGTGCTTTCATATCTTGTAGGCAAGCCTTTCTCACCACGAACCAAGTAAACCGACATCTTGTTGGAATCTATCTCATTCAAAGCAATATTTTGACGAGCAGATATTATTGCCTGGAGATCTATATCTATTCCAACAGAAAATGCAGCACCCATCTAAATATAAAATAAAAGATGGTGAAGATTCAATCAATTTTCAGTATTTCTCCACTTATTATAACCGTAGGCATATGTGAAACTCACAGAAGGGTAAAAAGTAAAAACAGAGATCAGCTAATGTCACACCAGTCGAATTGATTGTATATGGATTTATGGAGTGAATACCATTTGTATCAAGTTCATTATTGCAGTATGTTTTTGACACATTACACAACTAAAATAAATGTAGAGCTACACTACATTAATATTCCTACTTTTGTCCAGCTTAATCGATTTGTAAACAGAAGCTAGCCTTTTTTGTACAACTCTCAAAAATTGATTTATCATTTGTGTCAAAATTGCTTCTATCTATGTTTCCAAACTCATTTCAATTGCATTTGAAATTTATAGGGTAATCCTCAACCTTTACTTAGCTGTGAAAGTGGGCCTGAAATATAGTAAATACACTTCAATAGTGATTTTAAAAGCTAGAAATACGTAGCATGTTGATCAAAAGAAACTTGCATGCTACCTCTAAATTTGTATGTTGGATATTGTTAATGAAATTTAAGTAATTAACAATGTGTGTGTTGGATAGCCTTAATGAAAGTTAAGTGTGCAAAATGATCTTGGCGCAAATTTATCCATTACTTAAAGACTAGTATGTTGATCAAAAGATACCTGTAATCTTAGTGAATATCAACTAACAATGTGTAACAAACCAAAGTTCCATACTGTGTGCCTTTCACGACTAACATCATGAGCATAGTGAGGGTTGTAAGTGCAAGAATGACGTGTAATTACCGCTCTAAAGTCATTATAAGGAAAAGTTGATCTATAAGATATATAAATAAAACCTTCACTGCTGCAATTCCCAGAACTCCAGATCCTGTTCCATAATCAAATAACCTTTCTCCTCCTCGAATCAAGCCATGTAACAGCAACAGACATAACTTAGTCGTAGGATGCTCTCCCGTTCCAAAAGCCAATCCTGGATCAAGTATTATATTTATTGCTTGTAAATCCTGCATAAATTAAAGACAACAGGATGTTGATATGCCATGCAGTTACGTTCCTACTTTCTCAAAAAAGAAATAAGAAACTTGCAGACTTAAAGAGTATCCTATATAGACATTGCCTACCTGACTCTTTCCGAATGTTTACATCGATAACTTCTGAATAAATTTTACTTCATGCGTATAGCATGAGGACTTTAATTATATATTATATTCTTAACAAATGTAATACATAACTATATTAACCTTCCATGGATCTCATATTTTTATGCAAAAAATAAGCAATTCTCTTTAAAAATAGAAAAAAAAAGATCAACTAAGTCATACCACAGGAGTTCTCCATTTGGGAATGATCCACAAACCACGAGTAACCTCAATAGGATGAAATGTTTCCTGCAATTCATATATCATGAAACATCATAAGTGTAATTTGGATTCTAAAAGAGAAAAAAGCTAAAAGGCTAAGAAGAATCAATAAGACTCCACTAAATTATTAAATATAGAAATTTAATGTTACTTTGTGAACCTTATTGCTGCTGTAAAGAGGATAATAGTAATCTGAATGAAAATTCCAGATGCATATATAAAATCAATTATTAATATCTTTAGAATGACCTATGATTCTATATCCAAAAGAGAGTTTATAAAGCCTTCTGTAGGGTTGCTCGTTTATTGCAAGACCTTAAATTTGTCAAAATGGCAGTTCTAGCTAACTACCAAGCGACCAACAAAGCTTTTCAACAGCAAAACCTTATACCGTACCTTCCAGGACTAAAAGAACGCACGCTAACAAGTTCTTGTGAGGAAGTAGGAACAATAAGAAAATTATTGAAAAGTAATTATGAAATTTCATCACTTGTCACTTTAACTCACCGCACATCTACTACCAATTGTCACTACTAGAGGCTTGAAGCAGAACATCAAAACAAGTAAATATCACCTCGTGAAACAAAGAGAGACTAGAGAAGCAATGGGACTAAATGTTTTTCTTATTGCTAGAAAGAAAAATATTCACCTGAACGTTTGCAACCCAATCGCAAGGTTTGCCTGTTGATATTTCGTACTTGGGAGTGTAGCTCAAGCCAATAGAATCTGCTGCATGTGAAATGCATGCATTTACATCTTGATCATCCGTAAAGATTGAAGTTATCCACGTCTGTACAAAGAATTATACACCCTATAAATATTAAGAGATGTTGGGACCTCAAGTCTCAGACAAAAGGATAATTGTATGTAGAATCAGGTTGATAGTGGCTTCAAAAAGTGACAGCTACAAGTTAAAATAGAACGTTAACAAAAAAAAAAGTTTATCAACATGAGGTTATATTCGTGAGTTTTTAAGACACCATTTGCCCCCAAGACTATTAAAAGGAACATGTAAGAGAAGAGAGCACAGAAATAACACAAACGGGACGCTAAAAGTCTATAATTCTACAAAAGGGGGGAGCTCGGACAGCTGAAGTTATGAAAGGCATAAGCTTATGAGTATAAGCAAGCAAGAAAGTAACTCCATATTATCAACAAGACAAAATACGCACATCCAAAAACTTAGTTCACACACTCCTTCTGGAATATTCTAAAACATCGGAACGATTTCTTGACCTTTGCTTGTCATCCTCGAAGTATTTCGTATTACACCGGGGTAAGGCATCAAATATATATGCTATAAACCACTTACGTTATCAAGATCCACGGAGTTGTCTACTTCATCCATACTGGCAGAACTTGCACCAAAGCATAAAAGGGCTTCTGATAATGTATCCTGCGACCAAACAACGCATGAGAGAAAAGAAGTGCAAGTAACGGAACTGGCGACAGAGAGAAGACAGGGTTAAGCAGCGATGCGCGTAACAACAAAACCAACAAAATCACGATCTAACCCGAGATGCATTGGTAAATTTCTGCACAAAATAGAAGACCTAATCTGAGATGTATCAACAAATTCTCAATGGAACCCCTTCGTACGGGCCCAAAATAGGGAAAAACGTATACTCCCCCGACGAAAGCAGCATGTTTCCATCAATTCTCACAAACTCCAATCTCCAAAGGATACATATGCACTTATCATAGTATATATGTAGTGTTTGCATACAATCAAAACAGTGACTGAAATAGATCAAACATACACAAGAAGTCCAGTTTAGTATTTGATTTAACAAAATTTGTTGATATAGATACCCTCTGGACGCCAAATTGAAATCCTTCATCGGTTCCAATAACATTAACGCAAAAATTCCAAAAATGGGTCGTTCAGGGAATTCACCAAACACCAAGATGGGAAAATAGCGACGGGACCCAACTCACAGCGGCGTGTTTTTCGCAGCGAATGCGGACGGATGAGTAAGGAGAGAAGAGGGCTGAGCTCGCCGTTCCCTCCGCCTCCGTTTCCAGGGCTCTGAACCCTCGGGCTCCCCTCCGCTTCATCTCCCCACCCTCGGCTCGACGGGCGAGGCGAGAGAGGGAGCAGCTGGGCTTCGTGAGGGGAGAGGAGAGGTCTCGAATGGGGGAGTGAATGAGGAGGAGGAGACGCTGAGGGTGAGGGGTTTGGTGGAGGGGGGAGGGGAAGCGCTTGAGGAGGCGGAGGCGGCCCACCATCGTTCTCCGAGCTGGAGCGCTGAGCTGAGCTCGAGCGCTCAAAGCCCGTCACTTATCGGGTTCGGATTGGGATGGCGACTTCTGAGTTCTGATCCATTAACTTTTTTTTTCCTTGGCCTAGTTTTTATTTTTTTTTTATTTTTTTTTTCTAAATTGTTGTTATTATAATAATAAGAAGAAAAAAAATTACACATGTGATGATGACAAGCGGGCAACAAGCTGCGCCGCTAATCCTTTCTGAATTGCAAAACCTAACCTACGAAACACGTACTCAGCTGACCCTGCTGTCGCCACATTTCTATTCATGAATTTTTGTACCCTCCTGAGGAACTCCATCGCATCAGTTGCAAGGTAACCAAACGTATCGAATGCGAACGGGATGAAACTGTGGTGGTTATCCTTGCAAGCTTGATCATGTTTGCTCACCTTTGCCTTTGCCGCCCTATCCGCTGCATGCCCAAACGTGAACACTCCATTACCAAACCCCACCAACGGAGACACCCCCGTAAGGTCAACACAAGCGTGCTTCCCACCGCTTGTGTCGAGGCCCCAAATATTGGAAGCTCGTGTTACCTGGCCCTCTGTATTTTGGGTCATGTGATTCAGCCTCATATACACACCGTATTTGTGTTAAGGTTCCAAAGTAGCTAACAACGAGAAAAGCCCAGTTGGAGTTACAAAATCACCTTTTGATTTGATTGAACTCGGTAACTGCGCCCCTCCCTACTCAAGTACCCCTCTCTCTTCTACCGCTGAGGAGCCACTAAAATTCTCGAACTCCAAAAACTCGTCGGTTTTCAATCTTGGTTAGGGTTTTCGCCGTAAAAATGTCGTCCAAGGAAACATCCGTTAACGATTTCGAAGTTGTTCATCGCAGTGAACGACAGGACAAAGTCGAAGCCGGATCACAGTCTTCGGTCGCGCTTCATGAATCATCTAGGATTGGCAAGGAAGCATCGAAAGCCCTTTTGGTCATGCGAATGGGTGCAGTAGAAGGGCGAGGCCGGAAAAGAAGAACAGCAATGCCTGGTTCCAACGAATCCAACCCAAAAAAGCAGTAAGTGCTAGGTTATCTAAACTGAGGTTCATGTTAATTTCATTTTTAAGTTAAGTGCTAGGTCTAGAACAATAAGTGCTAGGTCTAGAACAGTGCATAACAGTCCATGTTAGCTCTAATAACACAATCAATGTTAGTTCTATTATAACAGTTCGTGTTAGTTCAATTAAAAACACTTTCGTGTTAGGTCTAATTTCAGTTCATGTTAGGTCAAATTTAACTTGAACATTTAATTTTATTTATAGGAAAAAAGTTGGTGATGCTGCTGAAATAAGGTTAACCGCCATTATTTCAAGTTATTGTGAATTTATGAAGTGTCTTGCCCCAGAGATTTGTCAGTGGTATATGGATGCATATTGTGGAACCATATTTGAGCACTATATACTATTTGGAGCTCATGCACTTGATCGCCCCACACTTGAGCTGATGCCGAACTATTATGATGTCGATAGTAACATATTTTCTGTCCCTGATTCAAAAACAAGTGAAATAAAAATTGTTAAATTTGATTTAGAATGGGTCCATAACCATACTTTTTTCCAATAGACAGGAAAATCATTTATACTAATCGAGACTCCAAAAATAGAATTTGGGTGAAATACTTTGCTAAACTTTTTAAAACTGAAGAGGGGAGGAAGTTAAAAAAGCACCAATTACCCATCGAAAATATCTTGAAGATCAACTAGAAAGTCTTGTGGAATCAACATAAAAGAAGGATATCCAAGACTTTTGTTCTGCTGCAAATTCTTTATCAGCGCTCGATGATATGGTGCCCCAGAAGCGGGGAAGGTATCCCTAAACCATTACTTAAGTACCTGGATAGCATTGAAAGGGTGAAAGGAGTTGCATGAGCTCAATTCTTTTATACAGAGATTATCAGAGGCATTAGAGTTGCTGTGAAGGGTTTGAAGAAGCTAGGGGTTACATAAGTCCCACGTTGCATGCCACTATTATGTGTAAGTTCCATGTTAAGTCTATTTTGATTCATGCTATCTTTAATAACAGTTCATATTAGGTCTAATTCCAGTTCGTGTTAGGTCTAATAACAGTTCCATGTTATGTCTAATAAGAGTTCATGTTAGTTCTAATTGCAGTTCATGTTAGTTCTAATTGGAGTTCCATGTTAGGTCTAATATGCAATTCGTGTTAGAGAGAGTGAGCAGGTGGGCTTCGAGAGGCGAGGGGAGAGGTCTCGAACGGGGGAGTGACTAAGGAGGAGGAGACATTGAGGGTGAGGGGTCTGGTGGAGGGGGGAGGGGAAGCGTTTGAGGAGGCGAAGGCGGTCCATCATCATTCTCCAAGCTGGAGCGCTGAGCTGAGCTCGAGCGCTCTCAAAACCCGTCACTTATCAGGTTCGGATTGGGATGGTGACTTCTGAGTTCTGATCCATTAACTTTTTATTTTTATTTTCTGGACCCAGTTTTTCTTTTATTTTATTTTCTTTTTACGTTTTTATTGACTTTGCTGTTTAGTGGAAATTTGCACTAAAAAGACAATGAAAGAAAAATTTGACTTGTATTCCTCTCAAAATCGATTACAATTTGGATTCCGATTACAAAAGAGAGGAGAATGAATTTGATTCTCCCCTTTGTTTAAAACTGGGTTCTTCACGGTGGCGATGAGATGCCTCCCTCGAATGCTCGCGTCGAGTTTGCTTCTCGTTGACGATCCGAACGTCTTGATTCACTGGAACGTGGTCTTCTCCTCACGATTTGACGCTGTGGAGAACTTGTGTGGCAAGTCTTAGAACTCAGAGCGAGTTTTAGAAGAACTTGCAGAGCAAGTTTGAAACTCTGACCGAGTTTAGAAGAACTTGCAAGGCAAGTTTTAAAACTCTAGACGAGTTGATAACTCAGATCGAGTTTGAAACTTTATGAAAGAGTTGATTTAAACCGAAAGTTCGGTTAATAAGCCAAGGCCGAATAATCTCAAAGGGTTCAATAAAAGCCTTCCAAAATGATTCAAAAGCTCCTACAAGTTGCTGATCTCCAAAGCTCCTTGTTGCTGCAGAACGCGGCAAGATGCTCGATCAAGGATCCCCAAAAAGTCAGCCCCAAAAAAAGGGATCCGAACTCAGTTGAGTTTCCCCCTATTTATAGGGGATTTAGGGGTGGTAACTCCCCCTTAAATCTCTCCTTAATGAGGGTTTAATGGGGTGCCCCCCTCTTAAACAGCTCCCCAAATAATGGGGAAAACGGTTTTGAAACCGTTCTGTTAGTGCTTTGAACGAGTCAAAACGCTGAAAACAGCGTTCTGGGCCCGAACTGTGCGTTTCTGGACCTGAAACGCAAAGTTAGGCCTGAAAACACACATTTGGGCCTGTTTAAAGGCTGAAAACGCACAGGTCGTGCTGTTTTGGAGATAAACTCTGCGTTTTAGGCTGAAAACGCAGAGTTAGGCCTGTTTAAAGGCTGAAAACGCACAGTTCGTGCTGTTTTGGAGATTAACTCTGCGTTTAAGGCTGAAAACGCAGAGTTGGGCCTGTTTAAAGGCTGAAAACGCACAGTTCGTGCTGTTTTGGAGATTAACTCTGCGTTTAAGGCTGAAAACGCAGAGTTGGGCCTTTTTAAAGGCTGAAAACGCACAGTTCGTGCTGTTTTGGAGATTAACTCTGCGTTTTACGCTGAAAACGCAGAGTTGGGCCTGTTTAAAGGCTGAAAACGCACAGTTCGTGCTGTTTTGGAGATTAACTTTGCGTTTTGATGTTGAAAACGCTGGTTCGCCCTGTGCGTTTTGGCTCTGTAATGCAGAGGCGAACCTTAGGCGGGCTTGGCGAGCTTCAGGCTAAGTCCAATGTTCTGACGAAGTCCGGTCTCGCAGACGGACTTCGGAACATAACTTGCTACGAAGAACATGTCATAACTTTCAAACCGTACGTCAGAATTGGACGAATTATATATGAAAATCGGCTATCTCGACGAGACGGGGCCATCCGAACCAAGCCAAAGACTTTGGTTCGCTTCCTCCGTTTCGCCAAATTCCTTACGGTTTGAGAGATATCTGCATTCTAATATGAAGAGACCGTCAATTTGTAGTCTCTTTTGCTAGAGCTTTGCACATATCGTCCTCTTGTAATCTTCGTCTTGGCTCCTTGAAAATATGAGAGTCGTCAGATTGTAACTCCCGATGTTGATTGTGAATGCTGTTGAATTGGGGCTTTCATTAGTTGTTGTGAAGGTCGTCAGTTTGTAACCTTCTACGTGAAAGTCCTCAAATTGTAGCCTTCTGGAAGTCGTCAGATTGTAACTTCCATCATCGGTGTTTGCCGGGGGATCAACTATCTATTATGATTTTTAGACATCCTACATTTGCCTCATGCAAATGGACTGCCATGATCGACACCTCAGACACAGAGTGAGTTTGCAAGCTGTCCTTCACGGCGGCGGATCCAAGATTTTTAGAGGGGCGATGCCGCTAAATATTTAGTAGAGTTAATTACAAATAGATCCTTTGTGCAATCACCAAGTTATGCTTAGCATACCAGTAATTTTATTGCCCTTTTCATAGGATTTATTTGCAACTACAAATTTTCGTGAAGGGGGTTTATCTGCAAAAATAAAACTCTTTCGTGAGGTTTTATTTTGTGACAACATAACTACAAAGATAATAAGCTCAATTTGGTGATAGTACAAGGGAAAATGTTAAGAGGCACACTCTTAAACCACACCTCCAACAACACTTCTCTCTCGTTACAGTGCACCAGGACCCACATGAATTTTTTTAAAAAAAATTCTCATGTGGGCCCCAATGCACTGTAACGAGAGAGGAGTATGGTTGGGAGTGTGGTTTAAGGTGTAACTGTAGCACCTCCCCATTACAAGAGATCTATCTACTATTGAATTTAATTGATATTTAAAAAGAATAATTAAACTCAGTGGAGAGCAAAAATTGGTTATATAATATAGAAATGTCCAAGATTTGCCCGTGATAGAAAATTTTGAGCTCGGTCGGGGGTCAAATATGTCCACTGTGCCCATTTGTTACTTTTTAGTATGGGGCCCACCAAAACTAACACAAAATTGTAGCCGTTGTTACATACAGAACCCTCACCAGCCGAATTCAGAGAACCCCACTCCCCCTTCCTTATTAAAATTCTCCCCCCATTTTCAAAAAATCCGACCGTTGGAATCCCTAACGTCTAATTGCTTTCTCCTTTTCACCATCAAAATCCCAATTTTTCTCCCCCATATTCAGCGAGAACCCTTCGCTTCCTCGCATTAGAATCCGAGCCCTAACTATCCTTTTTGGTCCTCCTCCTCGATTCTTCGAAGCAAAGTTGGAATCTTGCGAAGGGGCTTTACCCAATGGGAAGCGAATCCAAGGGTGGAGTTGATGCTCTTCAGATTGATGAGACCTACGAGTTCTGTGCGCCTCGATTCTTCGATTTCATGAACGAGGAGACTGAGGATGAGGTCAAGAGCGCCGAGCTCTGGTTCGAGATCTCTCAAAGCTACGCTCCGTCTCGTGCGTTTTCTTGAACCCCTTTCCTTTTAATTTCAAGGGTTTTTTATCTTCTTTTGGGAAATTTGGGGAAGTGGCAGTTCTTGATTTTTTGATATGATTTCGTGAAATTTTGAGCAAATTTTAGGGTTAAAGATTTGAGTTTTTGGTTTTTTTTAGCGTTTATACTGAAGATTAAAGAAGGGAGGTCCATCCAAATTGATAGCCTCTGCGATTTTGGAGATGTGGAGCAAACTGACGAGGTGGGTTTTTCATTCTTACGGTCAAGTAATTAGTTGAAGGATTAAACCTGATTCTTATGTCAAAATGTGATTTTTGTTTCTTTATTTTATTTTATAGAAGAAACAAGATGTTACGACTTGTGCCGAAGAAACAACAAGGTTAGTTTGAAGGTTCAGTCTCTTTATTAAAAAAAAAATATTTCTATGGTTTATTTTGGTCTTAACCTATGGTACTATTTCCTGTATTAATCCAGAGGTGCCCAGAATTCCATTGTTGCTGCGGAGGCTGGAGCAGGCGACCGGCAAGAAATGAAGGATGGGAAGATGTCCTTTGAATTTGTAAGTCTATGTTCTTTTCACAATGAAAATAGGTTCTTTTTTTTTTCTTTAGTTGAAAGACCAAAAACAAAGTATAGATGTTAACACCACAGATGGACCACTTCATCAATAATAAGTGACTGGCTTTTGATTCATGTAATTGATGTGTTTAAATGAAAAAAAAATGTTAGAGACCCAGTGGAACTCACCCCTTGCAACCTAATTGGCGGACGGAAAAAAAACCCAAATCTCTGTAATCCCTCGCCAGCATCCATATATTATATGAATCTCAGTAGACCCTAACATACGTTCAATCCATTTCTTGTGGAAATTTTCCACTTTGGCTTTGCACTAGCACTAATCCCACACTAACTTAGTTCTGGTCAAACATTGCAAATTCCGGAGACAACACCAGCTCCGCATGATTGTGACCTAGAAGTATGAGGTAAACTCTGATACTACTTGTTAGAGATGCAGAAGTACTCACCTTGAACAGTTAGCTATTCAAAATGGAAACCAAAATCTATGTAAACACCCATGCATCGAATCACCAATATAGTCAATGTGGTGGACTAAATCACTCCTGCCGAAAAGTACGGTGAGTACAGTTCACAGGGAAGTTGGCGATGAATATATCATCAACTATTTATGGTTGAGAAAGCGGTCACTCCTTTATCGGGATGGTCGTGGACAATCCAAAATAGACGTTATTTTCTGTTATACGGAAATTTTGTTATTTGGAAATTTGAGTTTCTAGTATTTAATGGACACACTAATGGCTTTTCAGGCTCCTGAAGTTAGGCCTTGTGACACTAGTCTACCTATCAAAGGAGAGAAAAGGTCAGTTTACATATTAGCAAACACTTCAATCTAATTAATTCGCCTGTCTAACTTTGTTTTCCCATTTCACAACATTACTGCAGTGCATCAGAGCCAATAGATACAGTGAGCAAGGAACCCTCTTCTTTCGCCTTTCCTATTCTTCCCTCGTCCAGTATGGCTTCAGCACCAGGTACATGAACAATTCTACATTCCAAACAAGAAGTCAATTGTTTCGTTAGCCTGAGCTTCTCTGTTGATACATTCCCTCATTATTGTAGCTCGGACTCCTAAAGCAGTAGTTACTACTGCTAAAGGAACGGGACCTAGTAGTTCCAAGAAGCAAGGAGCATCTGAAGCTTGTACACCCAAACCTCAGAGAGTCCCATCCAAAGGAGTGGCAGCACCCAACAGCTCAAAAAGCCAAACTGCGAGAAAAATAGCTAGCATAATTAGGCAGCCATCTGCACTGAAGTTGAAAGATCAGACACCATGTGCACAATCTTCAAAGAGCATCAAGCCACCAAAAAGTACAATCAAGTGAGGCTCTTAAATCTCTTAAGAATTTTTCTGAAAAAAATGTTTGCTTCTTGTTAGTATTTATGCCCATTTGTTTGTTTGACAGGTATCCTGGAAGCACACACGCAAAGAATAAAACTGACATTGCTCAAGAGAATCAAGCCATTAAAAGGCAAAAGCTTGACGGGGGGAATTGTAGACAGGTAGTTATTTCTTATTAATGTAAAGAAGATATTTTTGTGTTTCATTCATTCATTCACTTAATCTTCTTGTTATACCAGATACTCAACGTTAAAACAAGAGTGTTGCATCATAAATCGAAGCCAGATTCAGCTGGCAGTACAGATATATTTGCTTCATTGCATAGAGGCTCTCGGGAAGGCTCATTGACACAAAAGGTATTGGAGTAATAGATTATAAAAGATAGATGGACATACTTTTATTATAGGAAGATGCATTTTCACAGCTTAATATCTTCTGGAACAGGAACAACCACCATTCATTTCGACTGCAGAGATGGTTAATAAGTTTCAGTCAAAGACCAGAGATATACAGTTATCACAAAACAAACCAGGTTGCCATGTAAGTCACGGGCTCTTTCTTTATTAAATTATTTTTTTCTCTTTCTAGATGGTGGGTGGCTTCATAAAAGATTACCAACTTCTAACAAGTAGTGATACTGATGTAAAATTTTAGCAGCTATCGTTTAAATGCAAACATGACAATCACCATATCTATGTTTCTAATTAGAATTAATAGATGGTTCAGATATAGATTTCTAAATAGAATTAATGGAGAATTCAGATATAGATTTCTAATTAGAATTAACAGATGATTCAGCTATAGAAACTGTACAAATAATTTTTAGCAGCTATCATCTGAATGCAAACATGACAAGTTTTTTGGTTCTGCATATGATTTACAGGAAAGTGTTGCTTCGATGATAAAAAACAGACCTAGACTTAAGCTAACAAGGCCAAAGGAACCCGAATTTGAGACTGCTCAACGGGTTCGTGCAGTTAGGATTAAGAGTTCGGCAGAGTTGGAGGAAGAGATGTTAGCGAAGATTCCCAAGTTTAAAGCTCGCCCTGTAAACAAGAAGGTTTATTTTGTTTTCCATTTGCTAGTTTAATACTTTAAGAAGATATTTAAATCATATTTTTGAAGTTTACAATCTCCATGTAGATACTTGAGGCACCTTCACTTCCATCACTTGTTAGAAGTATGCCACAGCCACCTGAGTTTAAGGTAATTATTATGATCGATAGCCAAACTTTAAAGAGGTTTTCATCCTGTGGTCTTAGTTGTTTTCTCCATGCGAAATGAACAGGAATTCCATCTTAAAACAATGGAGAGAGCAAACCAACATGCAGAAACATCTTCTGTGGCCTCCTCTGTGGATACTTCTACTACACAGGTGAAACAACTGACGATACTCTCTCATTTACCCTTGGTACGTTATGTATTTACGCTAAAAGGTCTTTTCCTTTTCCTGTAACAGAATCAAAATAAGGCATGTAAACTAACTGAACCAAGACCTCCTCGTCTTGAGACCTCACTACGAGCACGACCTCCAAAGTACGCTATAATTATCCTGTTGATTACATAAGCAATTCGAAAATTTCTTTTAAAAATTTCAAGTTTCATTACAACAACTATGCTTTTACAGGATCAAGAGTTCTCAGGAATTGGAGCTAGAGGAGCTTGAAAAGCTACCAAAGTTCAAGGCTAGGCCATTGAATAAAAAGGTATTTTATTTATAACATTTGTAGAGTGAAATCATATTAGTTTACTGCTTTCATAGATTCGTCACTGCTTAATTTCTTACCTCACTTTTGCAGATTCTTGAGAGCAAAGGTGATCTTGGGTTGTTTCATATTCCAAAACCTCAAATAACAACACCTCAGGAGTTCCATTTCGCAACTGATGAGAGGCTGGGTCCCCCATTACCAGTTACTGAGATGTTCGATAAGGTAAAACTTGAATAGATCTCCATTATTCAAATATGTGAGTTATCTTGTTTATGTAACTTTCTCTCATAATTTCCTTTTTCAGCTCTCGATTCATTCCGAATCTTCTTCTCGACATGAGCAGCAAGAGATTCCTAGGATTACTGTCCCAAATCCATTTCATCTCCACACAGAGGTAAATGTTCATGGATATACTCACATATTTGTACTGGTTCATATGCTGATGCTGCTTTGCTTTTCCTTGTTCTTTCAGGAGAGGGGACTTGAGAAAGAGAGACAGTTCACAGTCCACATACTACAGAAACAGCTGGAGGAGGAGAAGGCTCGAGTGCCTAAGGCAAACCCTTATCCTTACACTACAGACTATCCAGTGGTAAGGACCAATTCATGCGTTGCATTTTCATTATTTTTTTCCTGACATTTTCTAATGATTATTTTCTACTATTTAGATACCACCGAAACCTGAACCAAAACGGTGCACAAAGCCTGAGGCTTTCCAATTGGAGAGTTTGATACGACACGAAGAAGAGATGCAGAGAATAATGGAAGAAAAGGAGAGGATGGAGAGAGAAGAAGCACAAAAAAGATTGTTTAAAGCACAACCAATAATGAAAGAGTAAGTTCAGTTACTCTTTTTATTTTCTGAGATTTGTTATGAATTAAAATCCTGAAATTGTATTTTATTTCTGGTGGCAGGGATCCTATTCCTCTTCCAGAAAGAGAAAGAAGGCCTCTCACTGATGTCCAAGAGTTTGTGCTCCAGGTGGATCATAGGGCAGTGGAGAGATCAGAGTTCGACAAGAAGGTAAAATATTTAAAATTCAAAGTTTATTCGATTCATTCATGAATATAAGCTACTACTATGAGTCTGCATAATCACAGTGTTGAGTCCTTTTGCGAGTTTTCTCTGACTATATATGTCCTAAATGGTACATGATTTTGTTGATTATTCTGAATATGCTCTAAACATAGGTGATATGATATTTAAATTCAAAGCTCGTCTGAATCATTATTATAATCTACTATTATGAATTAACATAATCACAGTGCTTCCTTTTGCTGATTTTCTATAAGTATGGGATGGTGCATGATTTCATTATACTGAATATGCATCAGATATAGTTGATAAAATATTTAAAGTCAAAGTTTACCTAAATGATTTACGAATATAATCTACTATTACGAGTCAGCTTAATCGTAGTAGTAGAAGACTCAGCTGATACTCTGGTCCTCTCTACTTGGATGGGACAGTATTTTGTTTGTTCTTCTGCATATTTGTCCAATATAGTTGTTTCTACTAGTAACATTAAAAGATGGTTCTGTAGTTTGGTGTTTTATTCAGTTACTTATGGTAGTAAAAAGGCTTTCTGCAATTTCCTAAGGTTAGGACAACCTATTTGGTTATTATAATATTTCTTTCATCGTTTCCTTCAACTAACCTGGGGAAACCTGTAACATTCTCCTTGTGAGATCATATCTTTAATCATTAGATATCGCAATGCAGATAAAAGACAAAGAACTTATGTACAAGAGATTGAGGGAGGAGAATGAGGCTGCGAAACTGGTACGACTTATTTCACATCAACTACAAAAATATGTTTCTATTTTGATATTAGCTTGTCATCATACATATTTTTTTTTTGTGAATTTGCTGCCAGGTTGAAGAAGAGAAGGCAGTAAAGCAAATGAGAAGGGAAATGGTGCCTCATGCAAGGCCTCTGCCCAAGTTCGATAATCCGTTCCTTCCACAAAAGTGAGTATTTTTGCTTGAATGAAGTTTGATATCCATCCTTCTATTGTTTTTGTACGCTTCTATCTTATTGACCGAGAATCCACAATTATGGTGTTCTAGGTCGACGAAGGATCTAACAGAAGCGAGATCGCCGATGTTACGTGTGAAACAGAGAAAGGAGCAGCGCAAGCACGCATTTCTAAGATGACAAGTCATGTACAATATGTTCAAGACTGCTTGAACCAGTCTGAAACTTGTGATGTATCATGTAACAACTCTTGTATCAATGTATTTTTAAAAATATCGGCTCTAGTTTCTTGTTTGTGCGCGCCTACAAGTGTCGGAATTATTCTTTGGATAATTTCTCTCTCGTGTTGGGATTATGACCTGTGTTTCTGTCAAATGGAGGGAAGTGAAGGAGGAAGTGAGAAAACAACAGATTTTACTGCATAAACTGGATTCAGAAAGATGAGCATCAAAATCTCCCGCCCAATCTTTTCTCTCCTCAATTTCCTGTCTCCATTCACCACAACCTCCGTAATAATCCCCTGCTCTCAAGCAAAAGAAATAAAATCCAGCAGACCCATTTACCTCTCTCTTCTCAAATCATCAACCAATCTCTGTTCTATTCTCCATGGACTCTCGGTCCATGCCCACATCCTCAAATCTGGGCATCAACAAGATCTCATTGTAACTACAGCATTAATCACCATGTTGCTACATTTCTCGGAGATTAATTCTGCTCGCAAGCTGTTTGATGACATGCCCGAACGAGATGTGGCAGCATGGAATTCTATGTTATCAGGATATTCCCGAAATGGATTTGTCCATGAAGCTGTTTCGCTGTTTCGGATGATGGGTAGTTCTGGAATGGAGCCCAATTGGCTGACGTTATCGATTTTACTTCAGCTTTGTGGTGATGTTAATGATCAGAGGCTCGGAATGTCTGTTCATGGGTACTGCATTCGGCATTTTGAGTTTGAAGATCCTTTCTTTGAGAATTCTCTTCTTGTTTACTACAACAAAATTGGGTATTTTTATGTTTCTGAGAAGCTTTTTGAGAGGATGCCGATACGAGATATCGTATCTTCAAATGTCATGATATCAGGATATATTAGAAGTGGATGCCCTTGGAGAGCTTTAGAAGTATTTCAGTTGTTAAGAAAGGAAGCTCTGAGTTTGGATGTGATCACCCTTGAGATAGCACTGCAGGCATGTGGGCAGATTGGGAGAGATGCAATCTTTGAGGGGGAGTCGATTCATGGACTTTTAGTGAGATTGGGTGTTCCAAATGATGTTTATTTTGACAATTCTCTTCTTCTCATGTACTGCAAATGTGGAAACATGGAGTCTGGTAAGCATTTGTTTGATTCAATGGAAGTCAGAAATCTTGTTTCATGGAGCATCATTGTCAATGGTTTTGTTCAGATAAAATGCCCATCGAAGGCTATGTCTCTCTTTAATTGTGCAGTAAGAACCGAGTCAGAAGTGAGTTCTGAGTTATTGGTGAGTGCTTTGCAAGCTACAAAGATAACAGGAGGATGTGCACAACAGGTTATGTCGATGCATTGTTTTATTATTAAAGTAGGATTTGATTCTGATGTATATGTGGGTAGTTCTCTTATTTCTGCTTACGGAGAATATGGAGAAGTTAAATTTGCTCATAAATGCCTACATTCATCGGCATCTCAAGGCAACAATCAATTGGCTTGCTGGAACTCTATACTTTCTGCTTGCGTGCATCATGGGTATTTTTCTGATGCTGTCGAGCTTCTTCACAGTATGAAACTTCAGAAGTGCACATTTGATGCTATAACCCTTGTGAATGTTCTATCTTTGTGTACTCATCAATTGGATTTGGAATCTGGTAAGGTTGTCTATGGATATGTAATCAGGAGCAAATTCGATTCTGATGTTTTTGTTATCTCGTCATTGTTAGAATTATTCATCAAATGTGGGCTACTGAATGTTGCCTGCTGCATATTCTCGAAGATGGCACTCAGGAATCTAGTGACATGGAACACAATGATACATGGCTGTGTTCAATTTGGATTTCCTACAGCATCGCTGAGGCTTTTCTGTCTTATGCAACAGAAAGAAGGTTTAATGCCTGATGCCACATCTATAGCTGGTGTTATCGAAGCCGTTGCACAAAGAGGATGTGAAAAGGAAAGAGACTACGTTCATGATTATGCTATTGAGAAGGGCTTTATCAATGACGAGTTTGTTGCTAATTCTCTTATTGTTATGCACGCAAAATTTCTCGAATTTGATAAGGCAAGCTTGGTGTTTTCCAGAGCTAGCAAACTCAAATCAGTTACATGGAATGTTATGATTGCTCAGTATTCTCTTCATGGTCTAGTGAACAATGCTATATCGGTTTTTCATCTAATGAAGCTTAACAGCATAGCACCTGATTCCATTACACTGCTCTGTCTGCTCAGGGGCTTTCCAGGTTTAGGGTCACTAAACTGCATAAAATGGCTTCATGCAATCATACTGAAGTCTGGCCATGCATCTGATCTTTATCTGGAAACTTCACTTATAGACATCTACGCAAAATGTGGAGACTTGAGCATGGCTCGTCAAGTATTTGACGAGATGAGCTATAGAACTATAATATCTTGGAACTCCATGATTCAATCCTATGGGATTCACGGGAACTTAGAGGAAGCTACAAATCTGTTCACCAAAGTGCAACAGTCAGGCATAGAACCAACTTTGGTTACATTTCTCATTCTTATATCGGCAAGTAGCCACGTTGGAGATATCGAAAAGGGTCAACAATTTTTTGATACGATGACCAAAGTCTATTCATTTTCCCCGAGGGAAGAGCATTTCGCTAGTTATATCGACCTTCTTGGTCGTCGTGGCTTTGTTCAAGAGGCTTATGAGCATTTGGAGAAATTGCCGAGTGGCGCTGGAGTTTGCGCTTGGGGTTCACTTCTCGGAGCTTGTCGAGCTCAAGGTAACCTCGACGTCGGTCTGGCTGCAGCGCAGAAGCTGTTCGAATTGGATCCAGCGCATCGCGGATACTATGCGCTAGCGTCGAATATGTTCTCAGAAGTTGGGAGATGGACGGATGCGTCTCGTGTGAAGGTGAAGGTTGACGATTTGGGAGTAGAGAAAGTTCGAGGTTGGAGCAGAGTTGAGAGTAGTTTCTGCTAAAAAAACTACTCCGCTTCACTCGTGAGTCCATTTTTTCCCGTATCAGATCATCGGGTCTGGACCCTGGAGAAGTGCCAAAGAGCCTGAGGGGTAACGTCCCGCAACATTTTTTAAATATTTTTTTTTAACCCTGCGTTCAACACTTTTTTTTGTCCTTCGGTAGACTAATTTTCAGCTCGGTGCCAAAATTTCACCCGGGGTAAAGGAGTCATAAGAAAAAATAACCCCCGAGGGTCTGTCTGCAACAAGGAATCATTTGGCTCGAGATACCCAAATGTCAAAAACTAAAGTGTTGCGTCATAAAAATATTTTATGGTTCTAGTAAGATCTTAGTCCATCAATCCTGTACAATAAATAATTATCAAAAAAAAAAATCTTTTTTCTCACGACTTTCCAGTTTGTGGATGGTGCGAACATTTTTTTAATTAAAGCACGTGTGCGCTTACTCACTGCCGAAGAAGAAGAATAAGCTCGTAGTGGGCCCAATGCTGATATCTTTATATTATAGGACAAATTTTCAAAACCATCCTATTTGCAAACTTAATCCCAAAAAACGATCCCTTTCAACTTTATTTGCAAAAACCGATCTCGTTTCAGCCCCAACCCTAAAATCAGGTCGGTTTTTGCAAAAAAAAATTTCCAAACTTCACAGGAGTTGAACTCCCGTGAAGTTTAACAGCTATTTTGAAGTATTGCTAAACTTCACGGGAGTTCAACTCCCGTGAAGTTAACTTCAAGCTGAATTTTCAGTCGTCTACGCAGTACGCTATACCTCTTGACCTCGAACACCACCTTCGCCGGCAGGACTTGAAGACCGAAGGCCGAGGACCACTGGGGAAGGGGAGCAAAGACCTCTGCGACGACGGAGCGAAGGCCGAGATCTAGATCTCGGTGGTGACGTTGCTGGGGGGAGGGGAGGCGGTAGGACTTGAAGAGGAGGGTGAGGACGAAGGCGTTGCCGAGGAGGAAGGGGAAGCGGGCGCCGAGGACCACGGGGAGCAGGCGGCGGAGGACCAGAGGACGCTGGCGGTGGGGATGTGGGCAGAGGACCAGAGGACAAAGGCGGAGAGGACGAGGGCTTCGATGATGGCGAAGGACGTGAAGTTCTTCGTGGTCTCGAGAGGAGTGAGGCCCCATGATGATACGGGCTCCATTGCTAGTGGAGAGGCGAGAGATTGGATCTGAGGATTGATGGTGGGTGTGGGGATCGAGAGGGAGCGGGTGAGCAGGGATTTATTTATATGGGGAGGATGAAGTCAGAGATAAAACGAACTTTACAGGAGTTCACGGGAGTTCAACTTCCGTGAAGTTTGGGAAATTTTTTGACAAAAACCGACCTAGTTTAAGCTCTGAGGCTGAAACCAGATCGGCTTTTACAAATAAAGTTGAAATGGGTCGTTTTTTGGGATCAAGTTCGCAAATACGGCGGTTTTGAAAATTTGGACCATACGGCAATATATGGGCCATACGGCCCATCAAAACATTTAGATCGGCCTACTTGTTTTGAACCGGAGGTATCGAAACCGACGAAAGCTTCCGCGAGAAGCCGAAACCCTCGAAACCAAACTCCAAATGGAGAAAAACCTCGATAATTAATTAATTAATGGAGTCCCTTAACCATCCAAGCAGAATAAGAAACTTATGGTAAAAAACAAGCTATAAAATTTTATAACATGAAAAATTTTCACCTTTTACAGCAAAAAGTTATGATTTTTATGGTAAAAAACAAACACCTCACATAATTGAATCTGGATTCACTGCAGTGAATCGAGATTCACTGAAGTGAATCTAGATTCACTCATGCGTTTATTGAAGTAAAAACAAGCTGGATTCACTGCAGTGAATCGAGATTCACTGAAGTGAATCGAGATTCACTCATGCATTTATAGAACGTGTTTGATGATTTTAAGCAAAAAGTTACAATTTTTATGGTAAAAACAAACACCTCACATAACTGAATCTGGATTCACTGCAGTGAATTCAATTATTTAGGACAGCAACTAAAACAAACCCCACAACTAAAATTCTGAACTTTAACCAATTTTAACAAAAAAACTAACAGGATTGCAATTTCTAAAATATTTTAATAGAAACCCTAAAAAAGATTGCAAATTTTGAAAGATAATCCAACAAAACAAACAACCAAGATCGAGTATAAGAGAAACCCCAAGCTAAAACAAATCCTAGAACCAAGATCGCAACTTCAACAATTACCCTAAAAAGAAACCAAAATCAAATTGAAATTAAAGAAAAACGTGACGAACCGAGGGGGTGCTCGAGCTTGAAGGAACTCTTGGCCATGGATCCCCTCTTTCTATCATCCCCAATACATGACGAGAACAAAACCATGATCAGATCAAAAGAAAATAACACCTACCAAGAATCAAATCAAACTTAGAATATAACCTACCAAGAAAATATAACACCTACCAAGAAAATAACACCTACCAAGAGAGAGGGGGCTGGTTCAAGCTTTTGGGAAATGGAGGAGAGAGAGAGAGGAGAACGTGAGAGGAGAGTTGCATGGGAAAATGGAGAACTCAATAAGAAGCATTAATTACCTCTCTTTAGTGGGCTGTTTATTTTACCTAATTACCCTTATGCAGCTTTAATCTCAGCCATTGGATGAATCTAGATCCAATGGAGAGGATTGGTTTTTAGTTTTTAGGATAGTGAGGTTTGTATTTGAACCTCTCCCTATATATATATATATATATATATATATTTGTGTGTGTGTGTGTGTGTGTGTGTTGTATGTTATATATAGGTAGCAGCTTTTATCTCAGTATCTACCTGTCCTGTCTTTATAGATTCTGTCGTATTGGAATATGAATCACTTTGAAATTTATTATTGAGACCACTGCTTCTACTCTGGAGCAGGGCGCTTAGAAGGCAGTTGAGGAGGAGGGAGACCGCCAAGGAGGCCAAGGAGGCGATCGTCGCGTACGTGAAGGAGGCGGCGAAGGAGATGGGAGGTGAGATTCCTTTTCACACCCTCAGATTTTTGTTCGGATCGGTGGGGAAAAAGATTGGAACTTTAACGTTATCGTCGGTTTCGTATGGAATTGGACGCTAGTGATGTTGTTTGTAGAAGCCTTCTGGTGTTTAGTTCATACTTGGGGTTCGCGATCTGGACTCAGTTCATAATTTCTATGCTTTGAGTAATTGGATTCTAAAAAGAGGAAAGAAAGTGGGGGGAGTTGACTTTATTTGCTCTTGTAATTGCTTTTATTGGTTCTTGCATTTGGAAATGCACGCTGCAATAAGTACTGGCTAGAGGCAAGGAATTAATTTAGTTTACAACTAATTAGCAGAGAAACGCTTTACAGTTTGTCTGAATTTATTGTTAACTTGCAAGGGTTTTCTGTGTAATGAACTTTCCCCCCACAGCTGGTACTGCTGAAGTAAGAAATGGAGGAAATGGGGTATTCACTGAAGGTTGTTGCTTGTCAAGTGGAGCCAATCAACAACGGCAGTCGATGTCGGTCATCCAAGAGAACACATTGGAACCAGGAAACGAGAACAATCACAACATGGCTGAGGTCCCCCATTCTGATATAGTAACAGAAGCTGCTGGACTACCAAGCATTGAGACTGGACATCAATTATCTGATGGAGGTGGGTGCTCTCTGAGTGGATTCGGTGAAGATCATCCAAGAGAAGAACCGAACAGCACAGAACCATGTCCTTGTTCTAACGTATTACCAGCAGCTGCCGAAGTGCAGACAATTGAGACTGCAAATGGTTCCAACCTACAAAGGGTTGAAACATGTGAGAATGTGGTGGATAGGGAACAATCACCATCGCTTGACAATGGTGGAGAAGTTGCTCCTACAAGGGATGTTAATTCTGGTGGTAGTGAGCATAACATAAATCATGATACTGTGATGGAGCCTGCAATAGCTGATCAACATCCAAGAGAATCGAAGCACAACAAAGAGAACCAAAATGTGTCAGCAAAGTTAAGGGCCTCTCTTTCTGACAAGGGGAAGAGAGCTATAAATGCAGAGGACACAAACAATTTAGCTGTCAATACAGAGCGCAAGGGCAAAACTGGGAAGAAGAGAGTCAGTCATGCTGTGGGTGCACCGAGCATTATGGATCGAAACCCGACTGCTCGGACATATGAGGTGATTATCTGAAAGTATTTAATTATTCTTTTCATGATGGAACTATTAAGTTTTCTATTGGATTTTTAGGGAGTTTTTCTCTTCTTTTCTTGTTTTGGTCGTGTCATTTCCTTTTATATTATATCCATTTATGAATATTATATCCATTTATGACTCTTAAACTTATCATGCTATTTCACAATGTCCAGGCTATTTAAGGTTTGCATATTGGTAAAGCTTGAAGTTATTACAGCCTGTACAATTCATAATTACTGTCAATTGGCTGTTATCCTTGTTAACGCTGTTTTACTAGTTTCACTTTTAAAATGCGACCATTGAAATTAGTAAACAGCTATGTCCATTTAATTTTTCTCAGGATTACCTTTTGAACTAAGAAACAAGGAAGAAATATGGAAATCATGTCTTCATTTCATGTAACTGACAAATGAAAAACTGGAAGAAAGTTTTTTAATAGTACTTGAGCAAAGATATATCTTGTCTTTTACTGTCATACAAAAAAATGAGCAAGGGAGAAAAGCTGGTATTTACAGTTTACATTTGAAATGCCGTGCTTGGTCTTGCATGGGTTTAGGTTTTTCGTTAAAGATCTTATTTAACATTTCAATGGTTCAAAAAGATTTCTAGCATGTCAACTTCCCTGTGAAATAAACCATAGACACATGAAGTTGCTCCTAACATAATGAGGATAGAATCACTATTCAATAGTCTACCATCTTCTTCTTTCGCTGCCCTTCTTGTCTGGTCTTATCTGGTCTGGTCCCAAGCAACAAAGAAGGGAATGAGAGAGGGGGAAGGAGGTGGATATGGAATAGAATAGAAAATAGATGGAGGAAGAATGAAAAAGTGGTAGATGTTCATTTTTTTAAAAAAATTGATCATCTTAACAGAAAAAGAACTATCTCGCTTATAGAATCCACACGATTCGGGGTTAAGGCTTAAATTGGCAAATGTGATGATTAGGATGGTACTTTTAGAAGTATGAAAGAGTTGGGTATACAAGTGAAAACCAAAAACTTCTTATCCTTCAGACTGATCTGTGGCATATCATTCCTTCCCATGAAGTCAACTAAAAATGCACCAAAGGTTGGGCATTTTCACTTGTGCTGACATGGTTGGTAGCAATAGAGCATTGCAATTTTTATTACCTTGTGAATCTTTTTTCAGCTACTTACTTTTGTTTGTAGTGGGATGATTCCATGGACACCACACCCGGGAAATCTCCTAACCCAGTGGCGAGGCGCCAGTCACCTCGTGTGAAAAGAAAGTCAAGTCCTGGGACAAATGTACCATGGACTAGAAATTTTTCTGGACGAAGGAAGAAGAAATGGTGGACCGAAGAGGAAGAGCACACATTGCGAAAGGGCGTTAAAAAGTATGTGCTTATATCTTCCTTTGCAAATACAACATAGCATTATTTGACTTTTAGTTGGATAAACATGAGCTGTTGTTACTAGGATGGAATTATTTGGTGAAATGTTATTTAAGGTTTCCTGAGCCCTGATGTCTAAGAAGATGCTAATTTTTTGTCATTTGCATTTAAATATTTCCTGTTATGTGGATAAGCTTCCTGACATCTGTTACTTTGGGTGAAAGGTATGGTGTAGGAAAATGGGCGCTGATAAAGGAATCTTATCCTGATATATTGGAGGAGAGATCATCGGTACTTTATCTATTAATGCTGACTCTGACATGTAAATATTGTTCTTGTCTGGAATTAGCTATAATTCTCTCTTCTTCTCTGAACAGGGCGATTTGAAGGACAAATGGAGAAATATAACAAGAAAAAAATAGCTTTGTTGTAATTTTTGTGTCATGCTGGATCCTTGAGTTTGTCCTCCAGTACCTGCCCCCAGTTACCTCCTTGGATCACCTTTTGGCTTTTACCCTCATACCTGCTTCAAAAAAACCCTTTACTTTTTCTGTGTGGGACCCCATCCCCAACCTTTGGAACCATCAACTGTTTTGGACACCCTCAGGTATATACTGCAGCTTATCTATTTGGTATGCGTGATTTTAACTTGTGCTCATATGTATTTATAATTCTCCCCATGCGTAACAAGTTAATATCTGATTTTTTGAAAAAAAAAACAATTTTATGGTTACCTGGGAATAACATTGATCCAATATTTTTTGAATCTGCATTTGCAGACTAATTGTGCATGCTTCTGTTCCTGGAAAATTATTCCCATGCATTTCTTTTCTTGTATCATTTCATTATATGGGAAATATTTGGCTCGTGAAACCCAGTTGAATGATTAGCTCTGTTGAATATGCACTCAGGTTAAGGAGATGGCGAAAGGGCAGCAGCGAAGCAGGCAATGAATTTTTGTGGCAACCGGTTTATCTTCCGGATTTGGACATTCCAATCCGGAGGATATATTACCAAAAATTTGTTTTGGGAGAGGATCAAAGGGGAGGAGGGGGGCAAATTTTGCCATTTTGGGCACCTGAAGCGTGCGTATTGGCTCATGCAGCCGGCAGTGCAATATCTGAATGCCTTTTTGAGATGATGGGGAGGGTCATGGGAAATGCATGGGAGCCGAAGTTGGATTATGAGATTAGGTGTTTTTGAGCTCAGCTGTGAAGAGGAGTGGGAGTGTTGATGAAATGAAGTCCTCATCTAGAAAGCTTTTTATGAGCTTTCTGAAGTAAAGTTAACTAGGGCCATGCCCACTGGTTAAAAATATTTACTTGCTGTTTTTGTGGAGTACATTTGTGGGTTTTGGACTTTCGGTTTAAGGTGTTACGATATGATGGTATATAATCAAATGTTGTGGCCTAGTAAAGCTCTACCGGTTTCACATTTTTCTGTCATTTTCTGTGAGTTCAGATGTTATCGAAATGTTAAATGGGTAATGTTGATCGTTTAAGCTTTGGAAAATGATAACCGTACTTGCAAGTTTTATACTACATTTGTACTTCTATTGACAAATGTGTGGGGTCTTTCTTGAAAATTGTACAGAAAAGAAGGGGGACGAATTTTTGAAAACAACGTTTTTGAGAATTTAGTGAGTAAAATCAACATTCTCCCATAAAAAATGAGCAAAATCAATCCTTTTTATCCCAGCTAAGATGAAGACGGTTGGTTTTGTAGGGAGCGAAGTTGTTAGTTAAAAGGGTGGCGAATTATTACCCTCCCACGATCTCCAACTACCCCACTTCATTTCCTAAAAAATCTCGTCTCCCTAAAACCCCGACCTCCTCCTTGTTGGATCTGCTCGCGACTACCGCCGCCTTCAACGGACTTCGCAACGAAGCTCTCAACCGTCGTCGCCTCCGACAGATTTCGTGACGAAGCTCTCAACCGTCGCCGCCTCCGACCAAGCTCGTGACCACAGCCGCCGTCGACCACATCCACCAAGCTCCGATCGAGGTTAATTTTTTTTTTTCAATTTGTTGTTTATTTTGATGAATGATATAGATTGAGTAGGATTAGGGTCTAATTTTGATTAACAGCCACTAATGATATGGATTAAGTATGATTATGGTCTAATTCACTATCCTCTAGTTTAATTTTGATATGAATGATATGGATTGACTAGGGTTTATGATTTTGGATATGAAATTTGTGGTGTGAATTGTAATTTTTTGTGAGAATTTTGATGAATGATATGAATTGACTAGGGTTTATGATTTTGGATATGAAAATTTTTAGTTTGTATTTTGTGAAATATGATGAATAATGTGATTTGGAAAAAAAGGTTTAACCATTATTTTCTTTTCAATTGAGATTAGGGTTTTAAATTTGATTTTCAATTGAGATTAATATTTTCAGTTATAATGGATTATTTGCATATGATGGACTGTTGATTTTTAGTTTCGATGGCGAACTCTATACCCATTATTTGATTCTTCAATGGGAGCCTCGACGTCGAAGTGAATAGTATGCCTATGTATGAGGGAAGTTCTAGGAAAATGTTTATGTTATCTAACTCATGTAATTTTGATGGAATGATGAAGGAAATACACAGAGTTACTAAAATTAATAAAGAAGAATATGCAACTAAAAAACACTTGTCCAATAAATGAGAATAGAACAATTGTCGTGGAGATCACCGACGATAAGGAATTGAATGATATGAAACAATTAGTCGAGAAGCAAGTGTCAATTGAGTTGTTCATTGAGAAGTATCCGAGTCAATGAATTGAGTGGCTTTATGACATCTCCAAGTCAAGAGCTGTGGTCTCAACTATAACATTTAAGCGAGCATTCTCTTGGTGGGACGTCAAGTAATATATTTAATGACGCTTTGTGCCACGTTACGGGTGACTTACCGGCCGGATCAATTGTAGAAGAAAAAGCAAAAGATGACTCAGAAGATATTGAAGAATATGGATTGCAAATTGATGGCATGCATGTGGCTACTGGAATCGATGATGACTCCCGTTGAATGGATCAATTTTATATTAACAATGATTATGTGAAAGCTAAACATCCGTTACCCGACGAGTTTTATAACGAGGATTGGATAAATACTTCTCAAGCTGAATTTATTGATGTTGGTCGAAATTTTCAACGGCCTGAGGACTTCACTTTTAAAAAAATGGATCTATTCGAGAACAATGAGGTATTGATCTTTGCAATCCGAGAATGGTACATCAAGAATCAGGTCAAATTCAAGCTGGTAAAAACTAATGCAACAAACTACCAAGTAAAATATTACTTTAACGAGAAGATTGAAGTAGAGCATGCAAGTGAGCAGGATAAAAGAAACACAAAATGTCCTTGGTTGCTAAATGCAGTTGTGAGAATATCATCTAATGGGCAATCTGTAATATTTAGATATTGCGGACTTCATACATGTTGCAATCCGTTGGTGGATGTCAATCATTACTCTGCATCTTCCTCTTATATAATTTCACAGAGTGCAAATTCATGATTTCATAAGCTATATATCCCACGATTTTTAGTAATTTTTAGTCATTTTCACCTTTCAGCAAATAACTTCGTGAAGGACAAAATTCACGATTTCATTAGCTACAACCCACAATTTTTAACTATTTTTAGTCGTTTCTAATCATCAGCAAATAATTTTGTAATGATAAAAAATTAATATTTTATAAGTTATAACCCATGATTTTTTGTCATTTTAGTCCTATTGACAAATAATTTTGCAGTCTAAAACTTTACGATTTCATGAGCTATGAACATCATTTTTGACCATTTTTAGTTTTTTTGACTATCAGCAAATAAGTTAGAATAGTCTAAATATTCACGATTTTATGAGCCATAATCCATGAATTTGGTCATTTCTAATCATCGATAAATAATTTTATGGAAGCCATAATTCATATTTTGTCATTTCTCACCATTGGCAAATAATTTTATGAAAGCCAATTAGCGTAGTTGAAATATTCCCCATTTTATAAGTTATAACCCATAATTTTGGTCATTTTTAGTCATTTCTACCTAACGACATATAATTCCATTAAGTAAAAAATTAATGATTTCATGAGCTATCACCTACGGTTTTTTGCTATTTTCGGTTGTTACCTACCCAGAGGCTAATAACTTTGCAGAGGCTAAAATTCATGATTCTGTGAGGTATAACCCATAATTTAGTATTCTAATCATTTTGACCATTGACTAATAATTTTGTAATAGCCAAATTTACGATTTCATGAGCTATAAGTCTATAACCCATAATTGTTTGCCGTTTTAGTCATTTCTAACTAAAAATAATTTTGTAGAAGCTAAAATTCACAATCTTATGAGCAATAACCAATGATTTTTGGCCATTTTAGTGGGTTCTACCCATCAGTAAATTATTTTATAGATGCCAAAATTACGATGTCACGAGCTATGACTCACTATTTTAGGCCGCTTTTAATTGTTTCTATAAATTGCCAAATAATTTCATGGAGGTTGAAATTTAGGATTTCATTAGCTATCACTCATGATTTTTAGTCATTTTTAGTTATTTCAAACAATTGGCAAATAATTTTACGCATGCCAAAATTAAAGACTTCATGAGCTATATATAACTCACGATTTTTGGCAATTCTTAATCATTTTTTACCATGGGAAAATAATTTCATGATGGTCAAAAATAACTATTTTATGGACTATAACCAATTAGTTTTTGACCATTTTCAGTTTCTGACCATCGATAAATATTTTCGTGAAGATCAAAATTCACGATTTCATGAGCCATAACTCTTGATTTTTGGCTATTTTTAGTCGCTTCTACCATCGTTAAATAATTTCTCGAAGGCCTAAACTTTGCAATGCAAGCAACTATAACCTATGATATTGGCCTTTTTTATTCTTTTGTGCCCAACAACAAATATTTTTGAGAAATATAAAATTCACAATTTCATGAAATATGACCCAATATCTTTGGCCATTTTTAGTTGTTACATATCTATAGGCAAATAATTTTGCAGTGAAAAAAATCATAATTTTATGAGCTATAATCCATGATTTTCTATCATTTTTAGTCATTTCTGACTACTAATAAATAATTTTGTGAATGTCAAAATTCATGATTTCATGAGCTATATAACTCATAGTTTTTTGTCATTTACAGTTTTTTTACTGTCGTTAAGTAATTTCGCAGAGATAAAAATTCAAGATTTCATAAGCAATAACCTAAAATTTTGGCCAATTTTAGTCATTACTTATTATCAGCAAACTAAGAAATCATCATTTTGAAGGTCCTCCTAAACCCCACCCGTGGGTACAGATCAATGCAATTAGCAGTTTGCTCTTTTTTTAATACTAGTTTTTATGCATGTGCATTGCACGTGGTTTAATATCAAAATAATTTATTTCTTATTTTATTACTATAAATAAGTTAGATTCATTTTAATTATTAGATTTGTTATAATTTTTATTTAAACATTATAAAAAATTGATATAATGGATTTTTGTGCTAAACTGGGATCAATATACTTAACTGGAATATCATAATTGATTTTCACAGAAAAAATATCAGCTAACATAATAATATCTTCAAGCAGAATAGTAAAAGAAAATAAAATAAGTTGATACTACATGTCATATTCTAAACTCTACTAATCCTAAGCTATAGTATGGAGCCAAGGATGAATAACAATATCATTATGAACTATAGTTCTAGTAATAAAAAAATAACATTTCTAAAAATAAAATTACACTGTACTTTTCAACATTATAAGCTCATGTTTTATAATAAACAATCTTAAAAGCATACGATATATATATAGTGCCACCCATATCAGCAGGGTCTGAAGGCTCAATAGCCACTCTTAAAGAGTTGGTGAAACCTGAAACATCATGCTTGAGAAAGGCCAGCAATTTTTAGTGGATGAAAGTGTGGCGCTCTTCAAAATATATTACCCCGGCCCCTGAATTGCCACTATGTTACCAGCACTAGCAGAGGAAACAGGCTTGAGACCTTGACCCATCATAAGATACAACGATAGAATCTTCTGCTCCTTGCGCATGTTTTTGCATTGATTCTCCGTTCAATGGATCATATAAAGCCGAAAGCGCAAAAACCTTCTGACCCAAGTGAAGAACCCCGCTGAAAATCCTAGCAAATGCGAGAAAGCACTCATCAGATTCTCCAATTTCACCATTAGAATTGTGATTCAGGGCTTCACCATTGGAACTTCTTTGGGGAAGCATCTTCATTGGAACCGCAAACATTTTCGAAACAAAGGCTATGCAAGGAGCCTCAGCACTAGAATCACAATCCTCAACACACTTCCTCGCATGCTCAGCCTCAGAAATAACAGAGCTCAAATCAGGGTCTTTGTCAACTACCTCCTTCTTTGGAAGCAATCTTGCAATCCGAAAAGACTGAGCAGCGACTGGATCGGGAATGCAC